TCTTCTAGACCTCATTTCCTCTAAATAATAATAGGTAGTTACTTCTTACTCCATGTAATACGACTTCCTTGCCCTTGGAATGAAGCGGTTTTATGCATTGGCTGATTTCACCCCCAAATTCTTAGATTTTTGTGGGGACATACCAGGACTACCAGATTGGGGCTGCAAAGATCCAGCTGATTGCTAGATGGTATATCTGTATATCTTTGCCACTATCAAGTGGTAGCAAATGCTGTCATTGCTTGGATTTCTGTCACCCCAATTTGCTTGCTCCAAGACATTGTGCCCTGATTTTAACACTATTATTCAGTAAGATGAGATGAACCTTTGGAATGGTCCAGCAGGCCCCTTTTTATCAACTTATAAGGTACTCATTCCATTGACAGCTTTGGATTTCATGAAACAAATGCCACATTTCATCCTTTGGGAAAAGATTTGTCAGGCCAACAGCCTGGCAGTGACTCAGAAAAGCTTTGCAACTGCTTGTTTTTCTCTTCCTCATTTCTTTACCTTGCTCACTTCCTCCAGCCCTGCTGAGGTTCAACCAGGCCATCCTTGTCTCCCGGCATGATCCAGCCTCACGCAAGAAGGTGGTGGAGGAAGTGAAGAAACGAGCAACATCCCAGGGGAAATGGCCACAGGTAAAACCTGTTGGAGGACCTGATCAATTATGTTAGTTCTGCTTGATAATTTGGGGTTTTATGTTGGTGATCCTCTCTTCATTTGTATGACCTCTTTCTCCAGGTGCTTTTCTTTCCAGAGGGGACCTGCTCAAACAAAAAAGCCTTACTGAAGTTTAAACCAGGTAAAACATCAGCAAACATGTTCAGCATGTGAAAAAAATAGATTGATATACACACCCAACTAATTAGCCTCAGAGGGAGCCCTGCTCTAAACAAACAAACCAAAAAAGACAATCCTTTACGACTGACACGAGAGACTTCCAATTAGTGCTTTTCATTGCCTGCTTTGAAACGTAGACAATGTCGCCAATCAGACTAAATCGAATCTCTTCTGAAAATGGAAAAAAGAGATTCTCTGGGAGTTGATTTGGGTGAAAAGCAAGTTTGGAAACCCTTCAAACTTAAAATATATGTACCTTGGATTCTCCTTCAGCACTCAGGACACGAGCAAATCTTGACCATATGTGCTTTATGTTCTCAGGTGCCTTCATATCTGGTGTTCCCATTCAGCCGGTCCTCATTCGCTACCCCAACTCTCTGGTGAGTTTCCAGAAAGCTTTAGCAGAGGGTCTTAGCTTTGTAATAATTACCTGATGTCAGATAGAGCTGGCTGAGTTTCCTGTCTGAAATTCTGAAGCTGGCTTGTCTAGTAAGTATTAAGCTAGATAGATCAGTGGTCTAACTTAGGGTAAGGCTACCAGTGCTCATAAAAATGGCAGTGGAGAAGCAGCTGAAGAATCCTTCAGCACTTCCTTCTGCAGTGTTGTGTCCCCATTATGGACCATGTCAATTTGTTAGATATAATCAAATATCTCATTTCTTTACAGGATTCAACAACCTGGGCATGGAGAGGACCTGGAGTGTAAGTTCCTGATGATGGTTTCATAATAGCAGCTGGGTATGTGTATTCCGCATATCAGTGGGACCAAGTCTGAGTCATCCTCCATTTGTTCTTTCAGGTTAAAAGTCATCTGGTTGACTGCGTCTCAGCCTTGCACAACTGTAGAAGTAGAGGTAACAAGAAAAGAGGGGAGTTCTTGATAGTTCCTCTTATGGGGATCCCTTACTGTCCTTTCTGCTTCAAAGCACTGAACTGTATTATTTGCAGGATTTACATTTTTTCTGGGGCAAGAGTCACATTTGGGCTTTGGATGGTGTGCTGGAGCCCCAGTCCCAAAAATAGTGGATGGGAATTTCTTCCTTCTGTCCTATTAAAAATTACAATTTCAAGGACCACGTGCAGCCTTGGGAACTCAGATTCTAGTCCTCAGATTTAGATTCATGGCCTACAAACTCTTAGGGGGTTGATACCATTTTCTTGACAAGCACGGTTTTTGCATGTTATACCTCAGTTCTTCAGAAAACCATTATCCTTCAATTGCATTCTGATTTTTTCTTTCTTTCCAGTTTCTCCCAGTTTATCAGCCCAGCCCTGAAGAGGCTGTGAACCCCACACTATATGCTAACAATGTCCAGAAAGTGATGGCCAAGTAAGTTGGAGATGCATTTTGTAAACTGGGAGTTTGGAGTGCACTGGTGTGCAGTGGGAAGAAGGATAAGGTCAACATTATAAGAAAAGTGGCCAGGCTGGGAGGAATACCTCAGAGATCTGAAGGAAGAATTGTTGCAAGTAGTTGCTGTACACGAAGCCAAGCATATCAGGAAAAATGGTTGCAGTGGTGGGCCTTGTTGGGCATTAACCAAAGGGGATCCCAGGGGTGGCTCCAGCCCTGCTTGTTGTTGGTTGGTGGGTGATGGTCATTGTCTGCTGATGCTGAGCACACAGTGCTGGATGGAGGTGTAGTTTTGGCCCAAAGGAGAAGCTAAGCGAGTGGAGAAGAGGGGCTTCCTGAAAAGACTTAGCCCAAGACCCTCCTGAAGTCCAGAGCTCCAGTGTCAAGGGTGTTCTTGGAATCTCCAATCTTTGTGGGCTGGTGTGTACCTTTGGCATTTTAAGAACATGTTGTGGATGCTGTTGCTCAATAATCAATGAGGGAGTTCCTTGCCCACTTACAATGTGGCTGCCATGGGGGACATATTTGGTTCCAGAACATTGGAACCTGGAAAGCTACCTGCCACCAGGTCTCATGTTCTACATGCTCCCTCTTAATTTTGTTGTTTTTTTCTGGGCACATTGTCTGATTTATTTATTTAGCAAATTTATATGGCTGCACATCTCATTGGATATGACTCTGGGCAGTGTGCAACCAGCAACTATTAAAACAATATCACAAATATCACAATATTACATAACATTTACAAAGCACTGGGCTGAAGGTGCCAGAACATTTATGGGACTCATTTGGAGCCTAAAAGTATTCTTGAAAAGGATCTGGCCTCTGGCATCCTGCTTTGCAACCTGCTAATTTCTCATCTGTTAAAAATTGTGTTTGAAAATATAAAGAGTCTGAAGAGCCAAAAGAAGTGTCTGCAGACACAAGGGCATCCCTGGGCACCGCCACAGAATTACATGTTCAAACAACCTCCTCAGGAGGGTGAGAACCTATGAATTAGTTGGTCAGAAGATGTTGTGACTGATTTGGGGTCCAGGTTCTGTGTGCTGCTAAAACTAAGTCTTGAAGACTTGAGAAGGAACCTGGAAAAACTCAAGTCATAGTAGAGGAAGCCCAGAGCTCTTGATAGTTGACCAGACTAGAATAGTTGGCCATTTCTGTAATATTTATGGCAAAAACCATCAGTGCAGAGGTCTCCGCTTGTCTGTCTTGCTAGGCTTTGAATCTGATCTCCAGGATGCTACTGTGGGATCCCTGATGGCTTCAGTAAGAGACTAGAAACTGAGATGTAATATTTGAAAAGATACTGAGGTGTATGGGAGAACTAGCTGTCCGCCTGGCTCTTGATGCACAGGGATGAGAAATTTCTCTTGCTTGGTGAATATTTGCTTCCCCCCGAGGCTGCTCTTCTCCTTATGTTCTCTTCTTCTTTAACTAGAGCTCTGGGGATCCCTGCCACAGACTGTGAATTTGTGGGCAACCTCCCAGTCACCGTTGTAGGGCGCTTGAGAGTAGCCCTGGAGCCACGCATCTGGGAATTGGGGAAGGTTCTCCGGAAGGCCAGGTGAGAGGTCATGAGGACAATGAAAGAGCTTTGGTGGATGAGATCAATGGTTGCATCTTATCCTTCATCCAACTTTGCCACAAGACATGACAGGTGTCTCTTGATAGGACATGAGCCAGCCTCTTCTGCTGTTAGAGAGGAGCAGCTGGGGTACTGTTCCTGATCCTTGGAAATCCACTGAAGTTAGGAGAGGTAGCTATCAGAGGACCAGAGATTAGTTAGCATAGAGTAATCACTTGCACAATGTCAGTCCGGGATTTTTTTTCTACACCCCATCATTGATTTTGCAAATTTGTTCTATTCCAGTTGCATTTTTGTTTGTTTGTTTGTTTAAGTGTTCTGGAAAACCTGTATCATTGGCTATTGCATTATGCTAACAAAACCAATGTTTTGTTATTACTCTTTCCTGCCCCACCATACATTAGAAGGAAATTACTTAACGGGGTCAGAATTCTGATGGTTTGTAGCACAGTAACTCTCAGAAAACTGAAGAGAATGGGAAGACATTTGGTGTGGGGGAGAAGCCCCCAAAAGAAAGATTGAGTTCAAAAATGGCTCAGGGACTGGGAGAAAACAGCCCCTCCCCCAAATTCCCCCAGCACATCTCTCCTTCATTCTGGCTACAGCACATAGCAGAGCATATGCAACCCACCCCGTGCTTCCCTGTTCACACACAGATATAAAAAGAGACAGGGTTTGTGTCGCACATTGTTCAACAGAAGAAACTATAGATACCTCTTGTGGCTGATGCTGCTAAGAAGTCAGTAAGAATTCCACAAGCCATGCTTCCCTACCATGTTCCTTTTCATCTTTGCAATTTTCTCAATCGACAGATACCTAACAGAAGGACTCAAATGCAACTTGAATTCGCCTCCTGTTGGCACTTCAGGGCAGGTGGGACCAAGTGAGCTCGCCCACTGGCTGGGACTGGCGTGTCCTAAAGCTGTGGAAGAGATCTGCATCTATTTCCAGCAGGTAAGCTGGAATAGAAAGGGGAGCGTAGATGGAACTCACAACATTGGTTATAAATAAACTCTGCTGAAGTCAGAGCAGTCTTCTTTTTTTCTTATTTGCTCAGGGCTTAGCTTTGTAAAAACATTCAATTACTGGAAGGTTCCCTGATGGGTTAGGACGGCTTTATAGGAACGACTACCCAAATGTCAGACACTTCACTGCAAAGCTAGCTGGGCCTTAACATTTCATCCCATTAGCTAGGAGTGCCTGTATGATCATGAAATGAAATGTTGACCTTCCCTGAAGTGTTCCCTGATAGGAAGTTAAGGTGTGCATGGCCTGAATAGGATATAGTGCCTTCTTTCTTCATTCGCCCTTTGCCACGTCTGCACATAAGCAGCCCTTTCATACTTCCTGCATCGATTCCCAGGATGCTGATGGAAACATGGATGCCCGGGAAGTGGCCCTAGCGCTGGAAGCTCTACAGGGAGAACATGACCCACAGCAACTGACACGTCGTGCTTTTGAGGTAATGGCTCTGATTAGCTTTGATGGGCAAGGAAAATGAGCTTGCAGAAGGCCAAGCAAGGTGTTTAGTGAGGACTTGGATCTGAAATTTCAGACTTCAGTAGAAGGGAGAGGTGGTGGGTGAGGGGCAGGGATAAAAGCTTTATCCCAGGGGCATCCACTAGGTAGGGAAGGGCATCAAAATCTGCAAGATGGCGGGGATGGTGCTCCAATCTAAGCCCCACCCCTTTTTATGTGTATCAGAGGAAGAGGACTTGGCTCCTGATGCCATCTTGCAGATTTAACACTGCCTCTGGATGCCAGTACTATCTTCTTGCTGGTTTTTAACCTGCAATTCCCTTCCCCGGCTTTTTACTCTCTGAACAACAAATACCCATAGAATATTGTTTGCTGGGGGGGGGAAATTGGCTGTCCGGAATGCAGGGAGAAGCAGCAGATGGTGAAAGGCTAAACTCTCCTTGGTAAATGGCTTTTTCTCTGTAAATTTACTCTTCCCACTGCCAGCTTTGGAAGGGTTCAACAGGCACAGCCACAAATGGCCCACCTTAACATTTAGGGGTGAAACAGCCTGCAGAATGAAGCTGCAATTAACATGTGTGCATGTCTTGTATGTGAAGGGAAGATAATTTTCAAGAGAATTCTCAGTTCGTGTATGTTTGATCAAAGCAAAATGGATTAGGATCTCCTAATCTTTGCCACAATCCTCTTCAATCTCCTGTCTGTCTCTTGAATGGAAATGAGGCAGTGAGGACTATGAGGCGAGAAGGAAATTAAGCTGAAACACGGGAGCACTTAGATGGCCTTGAAAAGCAAAGCAGGATGGGTAGGTTAGTACTTGGGTGGGGGACCACTACGACATGCCAGGGCTACACTGGGAAGTTGAAAAAACATCCTGAAGAAGACAGTGGCAAGCCACTTCTGTATTGCTGTTAAGAAAATGATGGGGACCTGTCCATAAAGTTATGCTTTACCAAGAGTTAAGCTCCATTCAGGGAAGCATTTATCTTTCTGCAACGCCTGATGTGACAGAGAGGGTTCTCACACAGTCAGTGAAAAACAACATGATAGCAGATCTGACACTGCAAAAACAAGGCATGGGGGAAACCAGCCCTCCTGTGCAAGAGGGAGGGACAGGTGAGGAAAAAGGGTGTAGATGGGTTTGACTATTGTTTCTCTATATAGCGCTTGTTCTTCAATTACAGCAGTCATTAGATTTTTTTCCTTACAGCTTGCTAACTTTTCTCCCGTAAACATCACTCATCAGAAATTATTGGCTTCTTGTGAATTTGCTGGAGTGGTTCCAGTTCTGGGTGTTGGTTGAAGCCTGACATCCAGAATGTTTTGTCAGTGGGGTCAAAAGTATGAAAGGGGGCAAGTTGGTAGACACAGAATCTGAGCAGGGGAAGACAGTTGGTGTACATATCTGCATGGACAGCAGAAGAAAGAGGATAAACATGGTCCGTAGCAGGCAAGGCACACAAGATTGAAAGAAGGTGGAGCTGTGAAGTTAGTTAGAGTTAGATGAGTTCTGTGAACTAATTATATTCAGTGTTTCAGTTTCATTTCTTTGTCAAACTTATGCATCTTTCCTATCACCAGCTATTCTCAGAGGTGGAGGCCAGGACAGGAAACTCCTGCCTGCGACAAGACGGATTCTGCGCCATTTTGCGCCTCCTGCTGGGCACTCCAGGTGTGGATGGAGCTGAACTCTTTAGCCGGCTCTGCACTGAGGACCACAGCCAGGACGGGCTTACCCTCGGTGAGATGGGGGCAGGGAGAAGACATGACCGTTAGGATGGAAAAAAAACACTCAGCTATGTATAGTAGGTCATCCAAATGATATTCAAAATCCATGCTGCAAGTCATGGAAAAGAGGAATAGATGGACAGAAATGATAGGAGGAGGCAAGAAAAGGGAAAGCTGTTATTTTCAGCCCACTGATATGATATGGAAGCACTACGAAAGAAACCAATTTGGATAAGAAACTATTGGGCAGTCCATATGCCCCACACCAAACCTTGTTTCTGTGGGCTCTGGACACCTCCAAGATCACGCTCCTAGTTTTAAGTAGCAACTCTTCCATTTATAGTTATCTAATTTGCAGTATGAAGGGAAATTGGGCTGGAATATATGCATTTAGCCTCTTTTAGGCCTAGTGCACCCATTTTGTCTTTCAGTACCCCTGACAGACACCTAAAGGTTTGAAGCATCATTGCCACATTCCTTGTGGCTATGGGAGACCTAATTTTTTTAAAAAATGGCTTCTGGTTGTCTGTCCCTCCAAAAGACTGGACAGTAATAGGAGCAATAAGGAAGGTACCCAACAGGGAGGAGAAGTCGCTGTCCAGATGGGAGCTCTAAAATGCAGGCCCCATGTCACAGAAGGCGGTGGTGGTTACATTCCTTCACATCAACCTTGCAGATCCCTGCAGTTTTCTTGGCAACATTTTTGCAAGTAGTTTGCCCTTGCCTTCTTCCTAGGACTGAGAGGGACTGGCCCAATGTCAGCCACCTGGCTTTGTGCCTAAGAGAGCAGCATCTAACTGAGTTTGGCTGATCTCAAAAACAGCTGAGCAAAGTTTTACCTGGTTAGTCCTTGGATGAGCGGCTGCTAGCATGTCTTAGGGCTGTAGGCTGGGCTGAGGAGTCTCAGAAACATCCCGGAAGAAAGCAAATGGCAAACCACTTCTGTATTGCTGCCATAAAAAACTATCCTAGTCAGCAGAGGCTGAACTGGACTTGGCATCTTTACCTTGGTCATGGTAGGAAGCCACACATAACTTCTTGAAAAAAAGCCAAGCAGGGTCTGACCTGCTTAGTCCTTGGGTGGAAAGCCACTGAGTAATTTCAGGGCTGTAAGTCTAGGGTAGGGAGTTGAAAACATATCCTAGAAAAACGCAGTGGCAAGCCACTTATAATGAAAATTACATGGATGCACTCTTGTGGTCACCTGTAATGGTATGTGGGAATGACCTTGGGAGACTGGGTGAAGAGATGCTCTTGCAAGATTCTGTTGATGTAGCTTTACAATAAAGTAGAATTAGCTTATCTGGCCATGTTTCCTGTCTGGTCTACCTGGTAAGGCTGACACCAATCATGCAAGTCTGAAAGTACAATTCTCCCGCCATCACATTTACACCTTGAGAACTTAGGGAGGGTCCCTCCTGAGCCTCTTGCCCTGCCTACTATGCAGCTGTGGGCTATGCTCCCTCTTTCTGCCCGTTCCCTAAGCAGCATCTCTTTGCCTGGTCTCCCAAGGTCATGTCCACATACCATTACATTACCTGGAGTCATGCTTGGTTCAAGAGAGACTTACCTTTTGTGATGCCACCTATGCAATCCTTTTTATAATGATGTGCTTTGTTTTCCCCTTTTTTGTACGCAGATGAATTCCAGGACTTCTCTCTCCGTCATTCTGACTATGCCCGTCTGTTCAGCACGTATCTGCGTCCCCCCGCAACCTGCACTTTGCCCAAGCCTGCCCTTTCCTCCACTTACCCTAATGGTGTCTCTGCCATCTCTCCCAAAAGCAAAGGTGACTGAATCCCTCCCCTACCTGTTAAGCCATGTGTATCCAATGTCCGTGACAACAACCCACACAGACACACAGCCATGCCACATCCTTGGCCACAACAGAGCCCGTTCCCTTGCTTGCTCCCTGCTGCTGGGGTGGTCAGGCAGACTGGAGCCGAGACCCCCTCCCCATCTCAGGGCAAACGAAAATGGGGAAATCACAGCCGCAAATTCTTTGGGATTGGGGCTTCTCTGTGTTTACTTTAGAGTTTGTTTGGGGGAGGGTGGGGCTAGGTTTTAATTTTATCCTTTATTTTATGTTGTTGATTTTAGTTTCATTTTTTTATCAAGAGGAAGGATGAACAGAAGAATGAGATAGTGTCGTTTTTGGGTTTCATTTTCTGTTTTGTAAAATATAAGAAAGTGCTATTTTATATATAAGATAAATATCTATATCTCTATAATAAATATATATATATGTATTACATTTTAAAACAAAGATGGTTCCTGCCCCCCCCCCTTTTTTTTTAAGGCGTTTTAATAGAAGATAGGGAGACTACTGCTTTCTGGTCTGGATTTTCCACCCCATCAACATTGCAAAAGGAGATAAAACGTTGCACTTTATCTGTGCTACCCAACCGATGGGAATATGGCCTGCCTGAAACAAATGTTCCCTGTGGCATTGCTCAAAATTCAGCTATTGGGAAGGGGGAAAAATTCACTCTTCCTTTTTTTCCCCCCACCTTCCTGATGGCTTCCTCAATTATGCTAAGAGTGAGAGACTGATTTTAGTGTCCTGAACTGCTGAATTGCAATATAGCCCGGTGGAAAGGAAGGAGCCAGGATTTCAGAATATTGGAAAATACCTTATTCCCTTTTTCTTGAAACTTTCCCATTTTATTCAAGGACTTTAAAAAAAAAAATTTCCCAAACCAACACAAACATTCCATTGCTAAATACTGTAAAACCACTCTCATCAGTCCAGCTGCCCTCCGGATAGGTTTAACTGCAATACCATCATCTCCAGCCAGTGCCCCATTATTCCCAGCCAGCACAGTACTCCAATGTATTTAAGAATGCTAAGTTTTGGAAAGGCTGCTTTGCTAAAAGCCTAAGCAGATCCTCTTTCTTTCTCAAGTTATGACATCCCCTCCATGTTACATAAATTTGAAAGCTACAGAACATGGCTTTCTCTAACCGTGCAGTTCATTTGTTATTTTCCCCTTCCCATCCTCTCCAAGTTTCTAATAGTTCATGAGTCTGGCATTTCTGCACAGCTGGGAGTTCTCCAACTTTGCAGGAACCATTCTCTTATTTTCGGTTGGGCCCTTCTTTCTTCCAAACCTGATTGCCACAGTTCACCCAAGTTCAATATGAGCTGGAATTAGGAAGACAAAACCATCTTTACTATCTGAACAGCAGAAATAAGATGGTTTTGGAGCCCTTTCTGCAGAGCCAGTCGAGTGATTTAAAATTGTTTTTAATTTGCTGAGAAGTATGAACAACTGGGGTGGGGGGGAATGTCTTTCTCAAAGGAAGTATTTCTAGAAAGATACAAAAGCCAATTTGTGTATTCCAGTACAATCTTTTCATCTGTCATATTTCGAACAATGATGGGATACTGAAATCTCAGGTTAATGAAGATGACACTATCAGTGTAGGAATCGAAAAGGACTTTACCAGGGTTGCTAATGACAACCCACTTAGGAAAAGGGGCCCAGTTACTGGTTGCGAAGACGCTTGCTCCTCCGAGTCCCTATGGCATTGCTCTTTCTCTTGTGACTACGGTGGACAGATGGTTTAACTTCCAAGTTCTTGTTTGGGAGAGAGGTGGAATTCTGGGGTAACTGACCTCTGGAGCAATGCCTTGGCTTGACTTGTTTTGCAGGATCCATGGATGAAAAGGTCAGTATATCCCCTTGTTCCATTGTGAGAAATAAGTGGTCACTGTGGGGAGAGAGATTGAGCTTGGAGGCAAGTAATGAGGAGAAACTGGACAGCTCTTCATCCTCTTCATCATCCTCTTCCTCTTCTTCTTCTTTGAGAATACCTTCCATGGTTCCTCCAGGGAGTTCTGGAAGCATAACATTCATCACAGTGACCCTCTTGACCAAATCACCTCCTACCTGATTCCAGTTACTCATTTCTTTCTCTGAAGTTACTGGCTCCCAGTAGACTTTGGATGGGAATGAATCATGGGGTTCACATCTTAGAGTTGTAGGGCTGAATTCATTGTTTTCATGACTGCTGTTGCCTTGGAGGCTAAGATGTGATGGAAATGCACTGGTGGGTGCAGGTATATAATCTCCATGGGGACCACAAGCCCCTCCATCAGCCTCACCCACGGTGTTATAGCTGGAAGGATTTAGAGTGGGTTTTAGGCATTTGTCGTTTGAAAGGTTTTCCATCTGTGGAGTGACCTTATCCTGATCTGAGAGTGGCCACTGAGACTCCTGGGGTTTCTCAAGGCCATTCTGGACAATCAAAGATGGTGATTCCTGCCCTGAAAAGGTGAAATATGATGGGTGCTCAGAATCTCCACCTGGTAGCCGGTCTTCAAGCTTCCCTCCCTCACATAAACTCAACTGCTGACTATTTCTTCTGCCAAGGTCAATATTTGCTTTTAAATTAGTTTCTTGATTAGTTTCCAACAAAGATAGGTCAGTTGATTGTTGGCCATCTTGCCTAATGGAACTTGAGTGTTTATACAATGCTAAGTTATCTGCAGGCAACCTTATACTTCTCACCAGGCTTTTGTTTTTTATAGGCATGCTCTTCATGTGCTTTACATTAGCCTGGGCCTTTTTCTGAGATAAGGTCTTTGCTTTTTGGCCAACAGGTTTGTTACCAGCTCCTGAAAGAGTGGGTGTTGATCTGTCTTGACTTGCTATACTTCGACCATAAGGATTTACATGTTCAAACTGAGTTGCAGTAACGTTAGGCATTTGAAGACCTTGGATCTGGTATTGATCTTTGCCTACTACTTCTTGGCCACTGTCTTGTTTATTATGTTCAAACTGAATGACTTCCTGACTGCTGACTTTCTTCTGGTTGTCCTGATAAGTTCTCATTTTCCTTTCCTGATAGTCAAGCTCTGCTTTACTTAGTATGGGACTTTCAAATCCCATACTATCTTGAATTTGAGGTTGATTCATGGTCTGTTCATTCAATTCTCTATGTTCACTAAAACTCAACTTTAGATGCTTTCTCCCCATGCAGTTCCCTACTAACCTCATATTGTCTTGTTTATTATGCTCAGCCTCTTTTGAAGAAGAATCTTGTGCTGCCCATACAGTTTTTAATTCTCCTTTTTGGTAACCATCCTGGGCTGATTTTATATTATTCCACGTTATTTGGATTCCATTCTTCACTGGTGCTATGACTGCATGACTGCCCTGCTGTATAGTCTTAGAAGCCTCTACTTGATCCTTGATCTTTTGTTCCTGGCTGTTTTCTTGCTTTGAATGACTAGAGGAGCAGAGCCTTACAATTTCTTGCCCTGCCCTGCTATCCCTTTGTGATACTAAATGATTATTAAGGGCATTGTTTCCTTTCACCCTTGGAAAGGTCCATTGGGTATGAGTTGGGGTTCCATTGCCATGACTCATAATTAGGTCTTTTTCCTGGGATTTCTGCATCTCCCCTTCTTCTGGATTCTTCAAAGTGGATAACAAATGCCCATCCTGAGAGTCATGACTGCAATATTCATGAGGAGATAAATTTGGTCTGACAACCTTTGGGAGAAAATCTCTGTCTCCCAGTTTTTGTTGTGCATGAGAAGCCAGTGGAGAACTGACAATGGATGTAGCCAACTCTAACTGACTGCCTCTAGTGCCCTTGTTCATGGAAGACCTTTTTACAGCCTGTCGCAATGTGTCTTCTCCTTTGCCGTTACCACTGACCTCATCTTCTTCCTCGGATTGTGATGGAGTGGAATCAGAATGGGAAGTAGGATAGACGGAGGGCTCCCTTTCCTCTTCAGACAGTGCCAGAAGTCTCTTCTCAGTTAACTGAAGATAGACAAGGAAAAGAGCCTATATAAACAGAAGCTCCACAGTGTAGTCCGATTATGGGTAAATCATTGCCAGTATTGGCCTTCAGCTATATCAACCTGTGCTGTGGGTCTGTCAACATTTGCAGGGTTTGGTCTTTCGAGGACCACCTGCCAATTTGATGGGGTTTTGCAGTGATGTTGAATCTTGTGCATGGCAGGAAATATATGATGTCCCTTTGTCATTAGATTATTACTTCCTGTTCCCAGTTGGACATGGCCATTTAGGTGGTGATCAATAGGAGGTATATACAGCTAGCTCTAATGAGTTGATGAGTTCCAGCAAGTGCTTCTGTCTTCATCAAGATCTTGCCACCTGAATGGAGGCTTCAACTAGGAACAGGAAACCAAGACTGTATGTTACTTTTGGTCTTCTCCTGCTTTCCTGCCTCTGCTTCTGCCCCCCAACCACATCAGTTTGGTCAAGACTGGGGAGTCTAGGAACCTCAATAGGAAAGCCAATTTATGTATCCAACTCCCTCTGAACTGACCTGTAAATAGGCCAGACTCTGATAGAGAAGTGATCCCCATGCAGTGGTCTAGCTGGAACCAGACTTCAGGACAGACATCTGGGACCCCATAAATAAGAACCCCCCAAATGAACACTTGGAGAGTCACAAGGGTCCATTGGCAATATCTGGGTGACATAGGTATGCAACAGTTGTGCTTCACATATTGCTTACCATTTCATCTTTTTTTCCTTTAACTTTGTAGTTCTGGGCAGTTGGAGAGGATGTACCTAGATGTACCTAGTTATGGACGCTCATTTTATTATTCTCACTTTAAAAATGAATAAGTTACTTTTTGAATTAAAAGGGTACTTAAACCCCAGGAACACATCAAAAGGCCCTTACCAACTTCAACATAAGAAGACTAAGTCCAAGATCTAAAATTATATAATGCTCCCAAACCTCTCCTCCATGCCCTTCCTAGTGCAAGATCTCAATTCCCACAATTCAAATTTAATTTCTTTGTATTACCTGGTTAGGTGTCAAGTTTAACTCATCTGCTAACTCTTCCACCAGGTCCAAGGGATCCTGGCTTTTCTCCGGAGACAATAAATCAGCCATAAATTGTGGGTGGATAACAGCTTCCACCTGCCAGAGAGAGGAAAGGGGAATGCTATGGTAGGCCAGATGGAGAATAGCCCCCAAAGGTATCAGATTCTCTCACCCCACACTCACTTTGGTATGAACGCAATTACTTTCATAATAAGCTACAGAAGTGAGGCACTGGTTAGCAGAAGAGACTCCAAACTCTATTAGTTTAATCCAGGATAATAGTTGAAACCACCATAGACTATTATGGAAAAGCAGGAGTGAGAGGAGCATCATGGGTAAGAAGATATAAAGGTAAGACAGGAGTGAGCAATCCAGAGCCTGCAGGCAGATGCGGTCCTCCCAGGCCCATTTTTTTAGGTCCTTGGAACTCCTCAAGGTCACACTGTTAGAAAGTGCAGCAAGTCACTGATTTTGGGTAAGGTGGATTTTGAGATCAAATTGGTGCATTGAGCTCTGCTAGGCTTCATATACATATTTCTTTTTAAAATAACCTCCCCAGGCCCCAACCATAAAGAAGTTTGAATATTTCAGCTTCTTCCCTTCTGATGACATCACTGAGGCACTCTTCCATTCCCCGTAGTGCTCAAGAGTCCTAGAACAATTATTTGGTCCTAATTGGAGGAAAGTTTCCCCAGTAGGAGTTAAGGCAAGACTTGTATATGGAGAAACAAAATGGCTTGGTAAAGGGATAATCAAAACTAAATCAGCATTTGGAGTGGCATAGCTCAAGATATGGATTGCTCTTTACAGTAAGTCACTGCCTCTGTTGCTGATGTGGGTTCAATAATCTATTCCTTTCCATCCTCCCCACCTTCTGCCTCTCACATGCATACTATTCTTGGAGGAAGGACAGGATAGCTGCTGATGGTCATTATCGTCATCATCACTGCCCTATCTACAAATTACAGCCATCTAATCCTGTCTTGACTCTACCACATTTTAAAAGAATACTGGGAATTCTCTGAGAAAGAAGTCACAAAATGAGGCAGAAGAAAGTGCTACAGCCCAGAAGAATAAATCTCCCTGCTGCCAGCTGTTGGGCGTTCTTTGTTACCTTACAAACAAATTCTTCGTCGTCACACAACTGATCAATATACTGAAGCAGGGCAGGGTCCGGGAACACCCCTTCCTCCTGGTCATGGGTGTCTTGGCACATCCCTTGTTCTTTCTTCTCAACTTCTTCTTCCTCCCAGCTGGTGTTCAGGCCTTCCATGATCTCTGCGTACTGGTGCACAGCCTCAGCAGGGATCTCCCTGGGTGCTCCTGGGTTGGAAGTGCTGGGTGGGCGCCGCTGGCGACGTCGAGGCTGGCGGCTCTTGGAAGCTGATTTCTTTGGGATGTAAACTTTTGAGAAAAGGGGGATCATGGAGTCAATTCTGACAGAAGACCCAGGGAGCAATTAGATATTAGTTGAGAAGGAGGTGGAAGAATTTCCAGCAGTTTTCAGGGCTACTGCTGACACTTTTTCAATGCTCTTTCCTTCACTTGGGTTAGCCTTTGGAAAGAATCACTGATGCTTCTCCAGCTGGATAAGATCAGAGCCTGTGACTCCAATTAGTTTCTGCCCAGGTAAATCCTAAATCAACTGTCACCAATCTGTACCATCTGAATGGGTTAAGAATTCCCAATTCTCACTGAGAATTCTGGGAGTTGCAGCCCAAGTATATCCAGTGGGCATCAGGTTGGAGAAGGCTTGGCAAAGAGAGGTCTGGGTTTGTACTAGTGACTGTACAGGAAAAAGGTATGCTAGCTTAAACTCAACTGAGCAGTCATAGCAGGTTTGGGAAGCACATATGAGCAAGGATTCCAATGACCTTGAGTCCCTATCTAGTGCCTTCCCATAACTCAGGTCAATAGAAGCAACTACACAAAATTCCCACTTATACACACAGTGTGTTCTATTGGCAAAATGGCATTTGGTGTAATATGTGCTGGTGGCTGCTGTGCTTCAGTGATAGCATTTTTCAAACCTCTGAAATCCTTGTGCTTTGCACACTGCTGCAGCTCAGAATCAGGGGTTATTTCAGATTCCTTATATGGTAATAAAATAGACGTATGTTTGAAAGGAGGCTGTTAAGCACACTTTCTATCCCAACCACATCACTTAGAGAAACATTTTTCACAGCATTGCAAAGTGGAGCATTATAAACACATATACCAGAAAGTACAATGTTGAAAGCATGGAGACTAAGGCCTGGTTCACACTTGATCGTAAGGCTAATTTGTGTAAGCAGCACTGAAACAATGCTGCTAGTCTTCATGGCTTCTGTATATGCAATGGAGTTCTACTCTGTCCATCAACTCAGTTACAAAGTGCTTTGGCGAATCCCCGTTAGAAAAAGAAACAATGGGTACCGTAAAGGTACCAGATCTGAGCTGCAACAATCTGGCTAACCGCTAGATGGCAGCAACTCAATATGGAAAATGCCGCCATCTAGTGGTTAGGTGGAGATCCGCTGCTTAGATATTGTACTAAGCCATGGTTTACTTTAGCTTTCGCTAAAAAAAAAAAAAAAAGCTTTTGCTTTTGTGATGAATGAGTTATAACTGGCAGGTTTATAATCCACACATAGTTCAATCATAAAACCATGCTTTACCAATGACAATGCTTGGGTTCACACACCAGGCTAATCCAAAACCAAGCAAACTACATTAGGCTTCAGCAATAAGGCAATAAAGGGACCTCACAGCAAACTGGGTTCTCATTTTCCCATCGTGCCTCTTGTTGACTTTGGCAATTCCCCAATGGCTTCCCTAGGTGGATAAACCACTTGCTCAAGCAGCAGGCATTGCTGGGTAGACAGTACCTTGCTGTTGTCCAGACTCAGGGGCAGGGGACATTGGCGGCTTGGTGGGTTTGGGGACTGGGGTTTGGAACTGGGAGCAGGTGGCCAAAAGTTTCATCTTTTGGATTTGTTGTTCTTCTTCGGCTTCGAACTCCATGAACCTGGGAAAGGATGGAGATGAAGAAAATTGAGTATGGGTCAACCATCGTAAACCCACACCAGATACACGTAACATAAACTGGGGGTTGGGGGGATACTAGAAGGAGACTTCGAGCCAATTCTCACTTTTCTGCCATTTCATAGAAGATCATGCGTTCAAAATTGCTGCTGTGCTCCCATTCCTGCACAGCACGGGGAACCCCATCCTCCAGGGTCATGTCAGGACGAAGGCGGGCCAGTGAACGGAGGACGGGGCTGTAGGGCAGGACGGCAATATTGTGTATCAACAAGATTTCCCAATTCTGAACAGTCTCTTCACAAGGGAATGTACCATCTCCCACCACAAGACTCATGACTTTCTGACCCCCCTCCTCCCCCAAGCCCTCATCTTCAGAGCCCCTCAAAGTACCTTCTCAGCTTCTTGGCCTCTCCAACAGTGTGGCTCAGTGGTTACAGCGCTGTGATAGAAGTGTAATTGATATAAGTGCACAAAACAAGAAGATAGCAGCAAGGGGTGAGGGAAGCAACATTTGGAGATGCACTTAAAAGAGATGATAAGAAAAAGGCAAGGGGGAAGTTAACAACAGAATGTATGAAGACTGTTCTATGAGGAAAAGCAGAAGAAAACTCTGCAGCACACAAGAGCTGGTTTTTTCTGGGCCAGAATTTTTTGAGACCTTTTTTGGGGTGCTGATTTTAATTTTGATTCTGCTTTGTTTCTTGACATCTCATAAGCATTTAAGACAAGCACACTTAGAGATGTAGCTGTAGCTTGAATTGATGCAGTCCGGTGTGGAACAGTGGTGAGACTGGAAATTCAAGTTCAAATTCCCACTCCGCCACAAAGCTTATTGACTCTGGGTTAGATATTGGTAGTGTTCACATAACACATGAATCATAAACTAGACAACCATATATTTGCTTCCCCAGCCCATATGATCAGTTTATGGTCCAAATGCTGGGTGAACCCTGAAAATTATATTCATGGAATGATTACTCATGATTATTCAATTAACCATGAGTAAATACGTCACGTGATAAACAAAGCAACATCTCTCAGTCCAAGATACCTCACAGGATTGTTGGGAGGATAAATCTGAAGGGAAGAATACTATTGATGCCATTTGGATGCCTGAAGAAGAAAGGTGGAATATAAATCAAACAAAGAAACCAACAGCTTCTGGTTGTCTGAATGGACTGATCCTTAGACTCAAGGATCCGAAATCTCAGATGGGTCCCTTTAACTAGTAAAATTGACTAGTTAACTGTGCTCAGTGTATGTTCTGGATTTCAGGCTTCAAAAAGGGAAATAGGAGATTTGGAGCAAACCAATTCTTAGTTTGCTACCAAAGGCATATTCTTTTGGACAAAGCCATTTCCCTCCCTCAAGTCTATTTTTCCAATGTATTGGATTCACTCTAAACTTGGTACTTTGTCCCAGTGAAAGATAATTTAAATTTATGTGTCTTAATCTGTGGCTGGGTTCACATATTGCTCTACACCGTGGTTTACTAAACAACCAGAAGTCGCTAAACCAGAAAGTCTAAGGTATAGCTGGGTTCACTCAACAAGCTAAATCAAAATCTAATAAATCCCTTTATGATTTAGCATATTGGCTGAACCCTGCCCTTATCTCCTTATCATCCCAACTCTAGATCAGTCTTCCAACCTATGGATCTTGCCCACCAGGATCCTCACATGAAAAAACAAGCAAGAGCTTCTGCATCAGGTGTGGCTGGGAAATGGCGCCTTGCCAAAGCCTTGTAGCGTTGCCAACGCCGGTAATTCTCATAAACTCCCTTGGATGTACAAGCAAAGGATGTGTCACTGGGAGATGACCCTTGAGCAGATGGGACAGCCTCAGGTGCTCTGGGTTTCCGACCACCTGGCTCCTCACCGGCTTTTGTCAACAATACTGTGCGGATGCCAGGACCACCAGGCCCATCCCGGCGCTGGGTGGCCCAACCCAATGGCATCCCTGTCAGGAAGAAAGTCTGAGTTCGGGGCAGCTCCTCAGCACCTCCCATAATAGGTCCTTCTCGTTTCAGCTTGATGATCAGCTTGCTTCCTGGGGTGTCAGCTGAGGTCACCAGTAAAGCAGCCCCAGGAAAAGCTGGCAGGAGCAGTGAAGGAACATTTGGAGGGCAGGATGAGAGGCCAGGGCCCTGGGTGTGATTCTGGGAGGTCATGATCCTATAGGAGGAAGAACCTTAAGCAAACAGAGCTGGCCAAGAAAACTGGCAGCTCTTTGCTCTCTGTGAGGTCCTGCTGTAACAGCATTAGTAGAAGTGGGTTGGAAACTGGGCCTTCTGGGAAATTCATGAGGACAGCATCTGGTTTCCAAGAAGATCGTTCATTGTTGACTTGACTCTAGGTGCGAAGGTTGAATGATAACGGTTCCAGAACTTGGATGTCTTGGTGGTTCTAATAAGGGGGAGGAAGTTTAAAGTTCTACCTGCAGATCTGACCTGAATTTTCATACAGTGCCTCTGTATTTATCGTGTATAATTTCCAGAAGGTCTGTGCAAACATAATGGAAAATACTTTGAGAAGCCATGACTGCTATAGCCAGAAGAAGCATTCTACCCCACCTCAATCAGTTACCAGCTTCCTGTGGTCCTTTCCTCCTGGGTCTTTTACTGCTTAACCTGTAAGCAGGAACAGGTTACAATAAAGTATTGGTCTCCATGATTGAGATCTATGCCTGGTGTTGCCTTTACACAACATAGCTGTTATGAAGGTAAACAAACAAGTTTTAGCAATTATTTTTGGGTCAATTGGCAATCCTTCCTCTAGGCTGAGACCTTAAAAAAAAAAATCACTTAGGAGCTCCATAAAGTTACATACCTCTCCCCAAATATGACTTAAGTCCAGTTTACCAAAACTGAAACAGCAAGGGGGTGAGTATAGTTTGTTTGTGAGGCGCAGTTTAATGCATGATGTCTGCTCTGACATCGAGCAGTAAGTTGTAGGCACATGTTATCCCCTTGAGGGCAACCTACACTGACACTTAAAGCTTAAACCAGTTTGAAACTGTTTAACTGTCATGCGGTCTCTACTAACAGAACTTTGGGAAATGTAGTTTGGTGAAGGTACCAATAATCCCTTCTCTGGGCGGTTTTGCTCCCAGGTCACACAACGGTACCGGGGTGCTGGTTTCTGGTGACACTTAAGAGAAGATTGACTACTATATTTTGTAGATGTGTTCCAATTTTATTCTGCAGGGTTGTATTCAGAGGAGAGATCTGGGCTGGAGAATGATCTACGTTTATTTCATTTGACTACTTGGAAATGTGACATTCTTCTTCCCTCTTTGGTCTAACAGTGGACCTTCACAAGTTAGATGCTGTCATCCAGACTTTATTTTCCACCCCAGCAATAGGTTTGGACAAAGCTAACTTCAGCAAAAAGTGGGAAGTGTTACAATACAGCTCTTATGTCTTCTCTCCTCTTCATCTGCTAACATTCATCATCTGTTAGGGTGGCATTTCTCAAACTTGGCAACTTTAAGATGTGTGGACTTCAACCCCCAGAATTCCCCAGCCAGAGGTGAAGTCCCTGTGCTAGAGTGATTGGTTCACACAGCACTTTAAGCCAGGATGGTTTAGTCAGCCAATCAATTTTCTGAGTTTCCGTAATTTAGTGAACCATGAAGAACCTCACTGGGTGGAGCTCACCCAAAATGCATAAAACACGAACAGCTGTTTAGCTATCTTGTGAGTTAGTATGAAGTGCAAACACAGACATGGCAGTTTGGTTTGGGTTTAGTGTGTGAGAGAACTCAGACACTGTAATTAATTCAACATACAAGGGTAAAACAAATTATGTTTTAGTACAATTGCAAATCAGAACCCGTGGGTCCATTTGGGCAGTTTTGTTTTGACATCTTCATCGTCCCCGTCCCCGCCCCCCGTGAAATCCGTAATCTCCAAATCTCAGAGAAATTATGCCTGCCGATATTTTTGCAGGACCAAGCGTTGCTTGCTACACAACCACTTCGCTTCTTTTATGCAGCAATTGTGTTTTCTTAGCAAGAGACCAAGTCGAGCGAAAAACGGAGTCGAAACCGCCAAAAACACATCGCCTCTAAAGGTGCCTTTTACCGCTCCTCAGGCAGAATGAGGAGGCTCGCGCAGAGCTGAAGGACTACCGTTCCCAGAATTCATTGAGGAAAGGGACTACAACTTCCAGGACGGCACTGCGAGCGAGACAGTAACGTGAATCGTGGCGTTTGAGACTAATAAAACTACAAGTCCCAGAATGCATTGTTTCTCGAGCGCTCCGTCATTGGAGGATGAAAGTGTAGGGTTATTCAGGAAGAGGTGGTGTACACGTGTGTTTGTGGGATAGGAGAAGAAGTGCGTTTTCTCAGTTTTATGATAACCTGTAACGTCAGCGGCATTACGCTTGCAGCTTGGTCACAATGTTTCTGCATTACTACATCAATGAAGAAGGAGAGAGAGTCTACACTCTCAAGGTAATGCTTTATTCCCATGGCCCTTCAGCGATCCGACTGAATTGTTGGCCTGGTTTTATTTTCCCAATGCAGCAGCACGCAGTCTTCTCCTCTATTTCTTTTAGTCATCGTTTGGGAGGCAAAGGGGGATGGGGAATGGGGGGGATGGTCTCTGTATGCCATTGGATTCATTTCCAGAGTTTAATGTGGGAATACTTTTTGTTTAATTTAAAACTAGGATAGTTATTTTTCGGGCCCTTACAGGTCTTTGGCGTGGGGAGAAAAAAATGGGAAATGTAGAAACTGGTTTGAAAAAAGTTAGAATGGGTTAGTTAGCTAGATCAGGGAATGGAGTATTCATTTCCTGTGTCTGTTATAACCTTCCACATTCCTAAAGATAAGAAAACGGGTAAAGAGAGATTGAAAGATATGCAATTCAGTGGCCAGAGAGGTATTATTTTGGAATATTAGGGTTTTGGTTGCACACTACTAATAATATTAATAAACATCCACACTGCTTGGATCCACACATATACCGATACATTACGACATCCTAGGTTCTTGGGAAGAACTCGAGGCAAATGAAGGCCAACACCAGCTAAAGAATTGGCAGCTGTGATTTGATGTTGTTGTGTGTAAATAATAATAATTGCAAAAGGCAGCTTTATTGGAACAGCTTACATCCTGCGACGATACCTTTAACACCATCAAACAGCAAAAACATCTGCCTATCCCAGGTCCTTGGGAAGGACTCAATAGGTGGATAAAAATGCCAAATCCAGTCTAAACATCTGGCTGACTGTGCGACCAACCATAATTTATTAAATTTATATGCTGCCCGACTCCCTACGACTCTGGGCGGTGTAACACTTATTTAAATATTTAAAACGACAATAGGAAAAACACACAAAAGCAGCACATGAAAAAAGAACAACTATGGCAAAGAAAGTAAACCCAGAGGGGAACAGAAAGGAAGAAAAGGGCATCAGTTATCCTCTCAGAAGGCCTGGGTGAAGAACCAGGTCTTTAAGGCTCTTCGAAATACCAGTAGGGTGGGAACCGTTCGAATTTCAGGGGGAACTTCATATAGTTGTAGGACGATGAGAATATCTCTTTATGCAATGTCACTGGCTAGCTTTGGGATTATTATTTACTATAATAATTATAGTAAATAATTTGCTATTATTATATTATTTATATGTATTATTATTACATTTTGATTTAGTCTCTGACCAAGAAGCTGAGTCTGGTATACAAGATTCTTCATTGCTCCAAAAGGCTTTGAAGTAGGGTTTTTGGAAAACATGTGGCCAATTTCATAACACACTAAGTCAGAACCAAAGAAAGCAGGTTATTGATCTATGTCAGTGAGCCCAGCCACTGTAGCTTGTAAACCATGGTTTTGGGTTTAATGTGATACATAAACTATGCAGTTATCTTCATGGTTGAGTGAGAATTAGAATTCAGATTTTCCCAAACCTCCTAATGTGATACTTCAATCAGTACATTAGGCTGGCGCTCAATGTTACCTGCAGTGCATTCGGAAAGTATTCAGACCCCCTTCACTTTTTTCAGTTTTGTTATGTTGCAG